TTGGGGTTCCCTGCTAAAACCCCAAACCTCCCTCCCAAATGAAGTGTGTCTCAGGGAATATCCGATCCCTGCAAACAAACCCCAGTTGGAAAACCTGGGACGCAGACGTGATCTGAATCTGCCTCCAGGAAACTCGTGTTGGAAAGAATAACCATCGCAACGCACGCAAAATATTCGAAACTGTGGGCTTCACCCCGTGCCTTGGTGACCTCCTCCCAGGAAACTGGCATGCCAGGGTTCAACCAAGACCCCGGTGTGGTGGCACTGCGATTGCCGGTGGTTCGTCGTACATCCGACCGTTCAAGGTTCATGAAGATCATACGGGCACCTACAAGCAGCTTTTTAGCACCAAGAGATGTGTTGCAGCATGGGCTCAGGTAACTGCCAATAAACATGCTCTATTTTTGTCAGTGTACGCTCAAACCGGAGCTTCAGGTGACACCCGTATCCACGGTCAGAACGACAGTCTCTTTGACTCCATTTTGACTTTTGTTGCACAATTTGGCCACATTCCAGTGGTTCTCGCGGGTGACTTCCAAGCTGTCCCAAGTAGCTACCCAGCCATTGCCCGTGCCTTGGCCTTCCAATCTTGGTCTGACCCCATTTCCACTACTGATGCTGATGGGTTTTTGACACGACCATTAACCTTTAGTCAAGATGGAACTTTCTCCGGCCCATCCGATGGCTGCTCCTCGATCGATGCGATTCTTGTGAACGGTGTCGCCTTCAGTGCTATTCAGCACGCTTGTGTCTTGGAGCACTTTGGCCGACAGCACAGACCTATTCAGATCGTTTTTGAATGGCCATCAATAGAACAACGTGGATTTGTCTTATTTAAGACCGCCCCTTTTGTTCTTGGCCAGGTTGTTTAAAACGATAACACTGATGAAGCCACCACTTTGTGGCAAACCTCGTTTCAGGAATCCTTTGCAAGTAGTCCCGACCCCAACATGAAATGGACGATTGTCAACAACTTCCTCCAACAGAGCCTGCTTGAGAAAGGAGCAACTTGGGGTTGTGGTCCAAAACAAAGAGCCTGCCCTCCTCTTTTCGTCAATAAGTCCGTTGCCCCAAAGCAACTCCAGAATCATTCTGCGTGTACAGTTAGAGGAAGTAAGCTTGCCAAGCTTATTGGACGTTTGAACGAACTTTTCATTCGTCTTTCACGCAGTGCAGGCTCCCCACAAGATGAATTGATCACTAAGAAAACTGCTTACAAAGCCTGGAATTCGTTGGCCAGTGTCAGCTCACCTATATGGTGGAATACACCCAATTCGCCATAATTGACCGAGGTATTCTTGGTGCGACAGTGGGCCACTAAAGAGCTTGCGGCGCACGACGCCGAGATTCGTCTGCAAAGGATTAAGCGGTGGAAAAATAAGATCCAAGAGTCAGCCAAGGGTAACTGTGCATACATTTTCAAACATTTGAGAAACAAACAGCAAGACGAGCCGCCAAACCTCGTCATCGATAAGGATAATAATATTGTTTTTGCACCTCAACAAGCCCTTGCTTCCCTCAATGCGACCTGGGATACATCTTCTCAGTCAATGTTCTTCGCGATGAGCCTATGCAGGTCCTTCAAACTGTGTGGCCCGTACATTCAACATACACAAGTCCCTGTTGATTTGCCACCAATTGATGGGATCACCCTGTACCATACCATCCAAAGAAGACCACATTTGGCTGCACCCGGTCTCGATGGATGGCGTACATTGGAACTTCAATGTCTTTCTCCCGCTGAACTTGAACCTGTAGCCATGTTCTTTTCTGAGATGGAAGTTTCCAGTGAACCATTTCCTGCTTCTTTGGTGTGCGCAAAACAGGTCATCCTCAACAAACCTGGACCAGCCATACTTTTGAACAAAAGATTAATCACAATCCTTCCAGCACTCCTGCTTGCTTACACAGGCAGCAGGTTTGCGCAGTTGCATGATTGGCAAAATGAAGTGATGCCCCAAGGGGTCTTAGGTGGTATCAAAATCGCCATATGTCAACTCTCTATAATGAGATGCGTGTTGATTTGGATTGTGCCTTTCTCGACCATTCACCCATCATTGGCTTGAAACTGGACAAGGCCAAGGCCTTTGACCGAATCGTGCCCGAATATGCCGCTGCCTTGTTTCTTGCATTTGGTCTGCCGAAAACTTTGGTCAATTTCTTCTTGAAGATGTATAAAGGTTTGCGCCGTCACCTTTCGTATAGAAATTGGTGCTCGCCACATGCCACAACTCCTGCTAACGGTGTGGCGCAAGGTTGTTCACTCTCCCTCCTTGCTATGAATGCCTACAACAAGGTGTGGTTTCATCTTCTTGAATACTTGCCAGAGATCACGGCTCGTGCTTTCATTGATGATGCATACTTGTGGTGCCACCTCCAGCACGTTTCTGTGATGGCCAAAGCCATTGAAGTGGCGCAATTGTGGGACAAGTTGGTTGGGCAAAAACTCAACCCAAGTAAATCTTCTATGTGGGGTTCCAATTGTGAAGCACGGAAATCCTTCGCCAAACGTTCACTGATTTTCCGGTCTACCTTGAATTTGTGGTTCTTGGCACTAGGATGTATTGCTCTGAGCGTGACAACTTTGGCTTTTGCCCTTCCACGGCCAGGAAAAACCTTACCGATATCGACAATATCGCTGCATTGCCGGTCTCACAAAAAACTAGGATTTACCTCATAAGTGCCAAAGTAATCCCGCAGATGTCTTTTGGAACACACATCTCTAAGATACCCAAAAAAGATCTTGCTACAATTCAAAACTCCATTGCTAGGGCGCTTTGGATTAACCAACCGAAATGGCGTTCGAAATCACTGTTGCAGGCTATTCTGTCCCAACCCCATAGGACTGATCCTGCTTTTGCTACTGCCTACAGCGCCATTTTTGAACTTGTCCGAATGTGCCATACTGCGCCATGGATTTTGCCAAAGCTTCAACGTACACTGCAAAGCGAAGCGAGAGCTAAACACTCTCTCGCCAATAGCTTGCTTGATGCTGCCGAATTGTTACATATTCAACTTGATCAGAATTTTGGGATTTCCTTTGCTGGATGTAAGCCCGTTAACTTACAAGATGTCCACCCCAAAGACATACGCAAAGCCTTGCAACAGGTGGTCAGGCACGCATGTTACACTGCCACACCACCCACCAGAAAGGATTTTAGCCGACCTACTGGCATTTTGGATCACAAGCAATCCACTCGCTTTCTTGTGCAAAAACAAAGTAATGATTCTTGTGGTACCCCAGATGCCTCTAGATTTGAATCAATTTGTGTTGGGTGTGTTTTGACCAACGACAGACTTGCAAGCACTGGATGGACTGACAATTCTTTGTGCCGCTTTTGCAATGCGACCAAGGAGTCTTTACCTCACCTCCTTGAATGTGAGAACTTGCACGAGCTGGTTGGACCGCCAGTCCAACATGAATTTGGGAACAATTTTATGACAATGGGGCATATACATCATCCAAAGTTCATTGCTCGGAAGCGCTTGCTTTGCTTGTCAGCACGTGATCTTGAATCGTCAGTACATTTTGAAGCTGGTGCTTATGAAAAGCTGTGGACAGACGGTTCTGTCATCTACGCGGATTGTTTTTGGCTACGCACAGCCACCTATGCGATTGTTGACTCCTGCGGACATGTACGGAAGCAGGGGCAAGTGAACCATTGGAACTTGGCAGAGTTATGGGCAGTGGTGACATCTTGCGCCTTGGCAACACAACCCACCATTGTCCACTCTGACTGTCTTACAGTTGTCCAGCAGGCAAGTGAAATTTTTGATGGCAAACCAGTTCACCAGGATTGGGCTTGTAAAGAGTGGTGGAACTTCCTTTTTCAGCTTTTTCACTTGCGCACTCAGCAATGTTCACAGCCGTTCGTAATTCGTTGGATCCCAGCGCATTGCCTTGACACACTCAGTGAAGTGGAGATCACGGAAGCAATGGCTATGCAAAAGAAGACAACACGTGAGAACATCCTGAACAACAGGAAAGCTGACCAGGCAGCTCGATTTTCGGCCAAGAAATTGGCGCCAGTTCACCCTGACATGCAGACCAGGGCCAATAAGGCTATTGATGCTCACCATGCTTGGTTAGTTTCTCTCCACAAATTGTTGCCTACCTCTGATCCAGGTGATCCGCATGTCAAGTCCCAAGACACAGGCCCTGCTGATGTTCCATTGGACCAGTGTAAACTTCGGTTCCCGTCATGGCATTGGCACTTGCCCAAAAAGCATTTTCCGTGGAAACCGAAAATCCCTCTCCACATGAAATGCCCCACAAGATGGGCACACACCGGAACTGAATGGAGAACGCGCTGCGCTTTCTTACGACAATTATCGTGGGTGCAAGATGCTGAACAGAGTTATTCATTCACTGAGTTGGCCGCGGTTTTTCACGCCTCCGGATTCAAGCTGGACGGTGATACACAGCTGCTTACTTTCTTCGACATGTATAAGATTATTCGGGAGCGCATGCAATACATGTCGAAACAACCGGACTGTGATTGTTTTCCTGGAAGGTTCGACTCGACCTTCCCTCGATCTTGCGGTCGTGTTCTCCCTCAGGGATGCATCAGAGGTGGCATCCCTTACGTGACGGATAGTGCACGACTGTTGATCGCTCGTTTGTTTCAAGCTGGGGCAGGCAAGACTATTGACTCATGGCGACTTCCTCTTGCTGATTTTTAGACACGCTTTGTTTCTTCATTTGTACATGTCTAGTTGCTTCTATCAGCGGTAGGGCAACAAGCTCTACTCATGTCTCACAAGAGATGACAGAGCCCGAGAGGTAATATATAGATAGATAGAGAGACAGACAGACAGACAGACAGACAGATACATAGATAGATAGATACTATAATTATTATGTTATATCGTGTCATATTATACTATACTATACTATACTATAGCATACTATACTATACTATACTCAATATAATATATTATACTATACTGTACTAGAATATATTACATTGATGTTATGTAATCTTATGTTATAGTTTTTTAGTTGATACATGCATACATACATACACACATATTATATATATATATCGATGAGAGATGACAAGAGATGACAGACCTCAAAACAGTTTCATGTTCACAACATGTTTCAGAGCCTTTGCACCTCTCAACTCAGTTCTCACAAGGCCATTGCCTTTGGGTCGAGTTGGTCGCACGAGTCGCACCCTTCTTTTGGGAAGCACCTTGGGATTCGCCACTTTGGCACCCTTTTCACCATTGGCGCCTTTGTTCCCTTTGGCTCCCAGCCTGGCTGGGCAACTGAATTGTGAAGAAGCACAGGGAGCACAGCCGCAGGACCCTGTGATCTGGGTCGTCTTTCTCATGCGAATGGGCGCGGGCCAAAACACGCAGCAAATGCGACGATAGATCATGGGAGGAAAAATTGTTCTCATCTGGACTCCGCGCAGACTGCTCTCAGGAGATTGCAAATGTTCCAGCACCAGGTGGCACCTCCAAGACAGATTCCGCCAAACCCTTTTGCGCAAAAAATGATGCAAAAGACACACCAGTTGGTGGCATTGGACGCATCGCAGCAGCAATGCTTTGTTGGAGTTTTTTTGAAGCTTGGCCGAGAGGACCGGAGGCAGCCCAAATGGCTGACTAGTGTAATTACGCATTGAAAAGCCAATGGCAGAATGAAAGAAATGGGACTGGGAAAATTGTCATAAAGCACCTTCTGAGGCTGGAATCTGGTTTGTATCCATCACGATGCCAGCTGCTTTGATGTGGTCTTTGGCTACCGCGAAGTGGAAACTGACGTCTGCTTTACTGGCGGCTTATTGCTTCCCACACGTGATAACAATGCCTTCACTGCCTCAGAGTTGCAGCCATGCATTTTGGCACGGCGTACAGGGATGGTTCCCTGAACTTGAAATAGTCCACGTGGGCGAGCCGGAGCCAGAACCAAGCAGCCGAAGCCTGTGCAAAATAGGCAAATATGATAACAATGTGCCAAATGGGCAAATATGATAACAATGGATGGCCAATGGATATGATAGAACGTTCAAAGAACGTACCTCGTCATGACCGACCGCGTAGTGGTGGCTCAAGACCTCCCTTGTTTTGTGGTAGGGGGCCCCAGCCTCGCCGCCATGGATCCTTTGAATGAACTGGCCCTCTGCAGGTCGTTGGCCGGGCTCACAGGTCTGGAGGTGGAGACCCTGTACAAGATCGGGTGGACTGTGACCGGCTCGCGACGTTGGAGGCTTCGCATGGGTGAGGGATCAGGCCATGGAGAAGCAGGAGGATGTAGACGTCCGTGAACATCCACAGAGCGGACGCGGCAAGAAAGTCAGGCGTTGCTGGGTGCCCGCAATACTCACCAACGCCAGTGCCTACCAGGCTGAGACGAACACTCCACCTTGCTGGTGACGATCTTGCGCTGCAGAGAAGCGTGATCTGGGCAGCGCCCTACAGGAAGCCCACCAGCCTCATTAGCGCGATCAACTTGCAGCAGGTCTTGATTGGACCGTTGACGTCTGGCCTTTGCTCACGCGCTCCTTTCATTTCATTGGCAAGGGGCAGGCAGGACTCCACGTTTCTTCGAGCGCAACCTCTTCACACCCGCCAGCCATGGCGATGGCCATTTTGCAGGCCCATCAACATCCTTCCGCAACCCAGATGAGGATTGGTGGGCTCGGGCGTGATTGAGGCGTGAGTGAGACGACGTGGCGGGGTCGGACCTTGCAGCTTGGTTGTTGAGGGGGATTGGATTGGTGTGGAGGGGGAGGGCTCGGTGAAGAAGATGGAAGAGCCGCCGTTTGAGCGCAGGGCTCGTGAGTTGAAGCACGCTTGGGCACCTGGGTTGGAATTGCGGGAGGAAGAAAGGTGACAGAGAGATAGGTTGGGGGCGGTTGCGGTGGCCTTGCTTGGGAGAGATGAGGACCCTGAGTTCGCTGGGCGTGTATGAGGAGCTGAAACGCACGCCCAAGGTCTATGAGGAAAACCAGGAGGGCATTCGGAGACAGGTCACAGAGAAGTTGAAAAGGGGAGCGTCGTGAGGCGGGGTGGAGGCGAAAAAGAAGTACAAGGGCCGGTTGGCTGTGGCGGCGTTGGGAGCCGTGTTGGCTTGACGGGACCTATAGCGTGGATGGTGAAGGACAAGATGGGGTCCCATTGATCGACGACGATGCAGCGACCAGGTTATCCATGCTCTATGTCTGACACAAACTGGCCCCGGTCCTGGCGCGGATCATCAGCTGGATCCACGACAAACAAGCCAAAGGACCGGTGTAGTTGGAAGGGAGATGAGGTCGTTTGTCGCGGGGGCGCTGAGGCATGCGCGCCCTTTTCCGGAACCTCTCTTCGATGGCGCCGGGCTTCCTCTTCATTAGCCGTCATGGCTTTTGCTCCAGGCCAAGGGAAGAGCGCGGTGCTATCAGCTTACACAGACAATCTGGCCCGCGCCCTGAAGAAATTTGGATCGAGCGGGTTTCTGCTGTTGGTCATCGGTTTGGAACTGGCGGCGCAGTTGGATGTGGCTGGCTAGGACCTGGGACTCCAGCGAGAAGAGGGCAGCTTCCGGTGGAGCAGCTGCTGGAACGGCGTCCAAGAGCAAGAAGGTGGGCTCAGATGGAAACCTTGGCGACGACAGGCGCGAGGTCCAAAGATCTGTGAAAATGGTAGGCTGTGGAGAACCACGGCCTTTCTAGAAACTAATGTGGGGGAGAAGAGCAATCAAGACCGTGGATTCGCAAAACCTCCTGTAGACTACGCTGTAGACATACAGGGGGTATTAGATGGTATTAGACAAGTTCATGGTCGTGTTGGAGTCAATGTGCAGAAGTCTCACGCTGAAGGACCTCATTGGCGCAACCCGTGAAAAGGGAGTTCATCATGAAGAGTGAGTGACGATAGAACGTTCACTCGTCAAGACCGACCGCGTAGTGGCGGCGCGAGATCTCTCGTGTTTGGTGCTCACCAACCACCCCAAACACCACCAAAGATTTCAGGAGAGATGTTGTATTAATTATGAGCGAAACCTCCTCAACATACAGGGGTATTAGATAAGTTCATGGTAAAAGCTGCATGTTGGAGTCAGTTTGCAGAAGTCTCACGCGAAGGACGTCATTGGCACAACCCTCGAAAAACGAGTTCATCGTGAAGAGTGAGTGACGATGGTGTGACCAATGTTGAATCAGGTTGGACGGGGTACGTATGCACGCTGTTTTCTCGCTATTGTTGACGCTTTGGCTACGCAGTAGAGTGGTCTCAACTGTTGTGCTGAGTGCCAAGGAGAGCGACGCCTTTTTTGCATTCACCCGCATGGTATCTACACCTTGGGGGCGTTGACCTTGCCTAACCACATGCCTGAGATCAGGCTTTGCATCCTGGCAGGGCAACACCTGGTGAAGTTTGTGCACGTTGAAAGTTTAATAAGCCGAATGTTTGTCCATGTTCGCCGTTGCCGTTTGAGGCATTGCTCCTTACCTGTATCACTTCGCACCAGCCTTTCGGATATTTGCAGAGCTACTTGGAGTGAAGCTGGGGTCAACAGGCCCCAGAGATCTGAAGCATTTAATGGAGACCAAGAACACACCCATGGCAATCGTTCCAGGCAGGGCATTTGGGTTTTCGGATTGAAGGGAATTCAGCAACATGGAAACCAAAGATGGACGTGCAAGTTCCAATTTCTGAACTTTCATTGAAACAGCTGAAGAAAAGATAACAACTGGCCGTACTGAACAAGTTCATTGATGTTCCTTGTGTCGCGTTTTTTGAGGGAGTGCAGTTGGAGAGGGACTAGCGAAGGGAGACTGAGACACTGCAAGACATTATTGGTGCAACAAATCTGCTGTGCGCAGGTGGCTTCGAAGAGGCAACAATCACATGCAGGGGTACGGAAAGAGTATTCTTGAAAACACGCGGTGGGTTCATCAAGTACGCACTCCGTCATGGCTACGATTTGGTGCCATGCTTCACAGTCGGAGATTCGGATATGCTCCTTTGAACAAGAACAATCAAGAAATATTTAGAAAGGAGGTGTCTCCAGTGTACAGTGTTGTCAACAGTACCTTGATTTTATTTACATGACTGAGGTTCAGCAACCCGCAGGGTGCTTGGAAGTTCCGTTGGTGGTTGAATGGGCTGTCTATCCCGGCAGTTCTTCCTTTTGGCTTCCCAGTGCTACCATTGCTGCCAAAGAGAGTACGGGTCAAGCTGGCTATCGGTGCGCCACTCCACATGCCACAAATTCAGAACCCATCAAGGGAGGACGTTGAGAAACATCGGAAGAGGCAGGAATCTGCGTAGCATGTATACCATGTTTGAAGGCAGTTTTCAGGGGCGAGAAATAGGAAGCCTTCCAATTTCTCGACGAAACTGGTGAGAATGCTGGGATGGTGATGGAATAGAAATAGAAGCATTGGAAGATCAGAGTCAGTTTATTTCTTCATGTACTCGACGCACGGAGGTATCTTGCAGCTTTGAAGGCCACGTATGAAGAGGCCGTCCAAGGTACTGCAAGTGCAGGACGTCCGTTCGAGGTTTGGTGACACCAGATCCGTCAACCAAGAGAGGAATCAGCAAGAGGTTCCTCAGGTTCCTCAGTGAATGGTCTTGCCTTTTGTCCTGATCTTCTCCCAAAGTCGGAGAAGTTATTGCTCTGATTTGGGATATAGTTACACATGTTATGGCGCGAGCAAGAACAATTGGATTGCATTTCAAGTGCCACTGCCTTGGCGTCCTGAATGTGAGCCACTACAATTGCGATTGCACATACATACATACATACATACATACATTCATTCCATACATTCATTCCATACACACAACGATTCTTGATCCATGATGTGGCTCAAAGTGATGGTTTAGCACTCCAGTGTTCAGATATTTTTGAAAGCATCTCCAAGGTGGAGGGATGCACAAAAAATGAGGTCCAAAGTTGGGTTGGAATTGTCATGTTTATATTACATCAGTTGGAGCAGCACCAGAGTCACTAGAAGCGAATTGCATTCTGCAGCCATGGCCAAATGCATCTCCAATTTAACGAAAGGCTTTGAACAGAAGCTGGGCACTGATTTGTGAAACATCACATCTCATCAGTTTTTGTCAGGGCCTCCAAAATATACATTGGTGGGATACTTCAATGTCCTTTAGCAACATCTCCCATCATGTTCCCTGGAAAATTCGAGACCTAGTAGACCCGATAACATTGGCTGAACCTCCACAGAACCAAGTATATATATATATATCCCAATACCATGTCTTGATGGACTCAGGAACACTCATGCACGTCGTTGCTTCCGATTGAGACTTGCCTTAATTGCAGTAAGTTTGAGACCACTTGATTCTGGCCCGCACATGCGCATGCTAGTTCCTGTCAGTTTTTCTTCATTGCAAAGATGGGTTGTACAGTGTGGAATGGCATCACTAGATGTGAGTCATGAGGTGCTCCTTCTTGGTAGTTCTGCTGCTTTTCTATCTCTTTCTGGTTACTTGGCATTGGAGGTCTGAACGCCCATGTTTGAGGTAGTTCAGGGGGAAAGCTCGGCGAGTTGATCCCATCGATTTAGGTGGCTTTCAACTTCCACTTCGTCCGCCGCGTCCCAGTGGAGTACATCTTTGGCGACAGGACGGACCAAAAACATCAACAATGGCAACTGACTCCTCCCTTTTAATGGAACTCATGATTGTACAGTGTATGAAAGAAACAAAGACTTTGTTTGTGCTCCGAATGTGCTATTTTTTGGTGTTTGCGGTACCTTTGGTGTCACCTTCAGTGTCCACAGGTTGGAGATCACCGTTGCTTCTTGCGATGTGGTCTTGCAGCCGGGCACCACTCGCTCCGTGAAGGTCGAGGCGAAATTGTGGAGCCAGACGAATTGCTTTTCGCAAGAGTAGCCTAGTAGCCTAGTAGTCAAGAGCAGTTATAGAAGCTAGTAGTAACAGGTGCCTTACTAGTAACAAGAAGCGAACGTAGTAACAGGTGCCACGCTATTTATGAAGTTCTACGGTCCCATCTCAACTGCCTCAAGCAGTACCATCTAGCTGAACCAAGTAATCTCCAGAGCTGGGAAGTGAGTGCTGATGGTTTACCTCCGCGAAGGATTGCGAAGGTGTTTGCTTGACGTGCAATGTGCTTATATATGTGATGTGTGGTAAAGTCATGCAAAGTTGTGCTGTGAGATTGAGTGGCTTCTGATATGGTGTTTTATCACTTGTGATGTGACGAATTGCAATGTGATCAGTTGTGATGAATGGGGGAGATAGCCTGTGTATTTACCTGTGGTGTGATGAAGCAAGCAAGGTGTTGATGTCTTCATCGATGGTCTTCCAACTCGCTGTAGCGTGTTTGAAAGGTTTCCGAAAGTTTGACTATGTTCGTCATCAAAACAAAAGCGCACACGTGCGCGCGGTGTCTCTCTCTCTCTCTCTCTGTGCTGGTTGGTGCTTTTCATCCCCAAGTCGTCTCGGTTCAACCACTCGGCTAGCCCTGAGGAGGTGTCCCGTTCGTTGCTTGGTGAAGTGAAACGTGGTGATATCTGAGGTATTGGTGGTTCCTGGCCTGGTGCAGTTACCAATTTTATTTCAAACCCCCATGTAAGGCCTTTATCCGAAATAAGAAAGGATTTAGGAAGCTGTCCTGCAGCTATATAATTCTAGAGTCAAAACCATTGCTTTTTGCATTTTTCCTTGGGCCCGCGCAGTGAACGATGGTCCATGTCGGTATTTAGTGGTGAGGCTCATGGTGATGTGCTTGACAAGCACATCACCTGTCGTTGGCCCTTGGCAGTCAATGATACCCCAACCTGACAGACTATTCATGAAGCTGTGTCATCCTTTCCGGTAAGACCCTGCCAGAGCTTCGAGCTGCCCTGCTGTCAATCACTGGGAGCACTGGAAAAGCCAGCGGACAGAAAACTCAGGTGCGCCCGTTCTGGAATCTGTGCCTGAAGCTCGTGCCGTTGTCAGAGAAAGGAGTCGAGTGAAGCATGCCCGTAATGTAGGACTGAGACCTGATGTTCGCACATGCTTGGCACTTTTGCACGCTTGGGGGCTGGCTTGTGCAGCTTCTGTGTGGAAAGCAGCCAGGGCGGTTGCAGACAGATCTGTCAGGATGTTTAAGTTTGTTGGAAGGATGCGGGAGCATTGTCTTTCATCATGGTGCGGGAACGATAACCTGAACAATAAGCAGAAAGTAACCAAAGATGCTCAGGAAAGGCCCGCCTGCACCCACAGCACATGCCACGATACTTTTCATACTACGCGATGAAGGCACCTGCTCCTCCTTTGGATGCAGAGGAAGCAACACCCTGGTGACCACTCACAACGTGAGCAATAACTCATGGCTTGGATACATGATGGCTGCCCTCTACCAGCTCGCCAGATGATGAGCCGTACTAGTGTGGGTCGTGCCTGCAAGTCTTTAAGCAGCAAGCGGAACACGCATTGTACAGATGGTCTGAAACCTCGCTGGCTTTCCTAGATTCGCAAAGAGAGTGATGCGGTTTGCCTGCCTGGTTCTGGCACCTGCTCCCTGTTTGGGCTGCAGCAAAGGCAAAGCAAGTCTTGCGCCACGGAATCGGTTCATTCTCCAATCAGCAAGTCTTCTCTTTTGATGTAGCAACGAGTTGCGCAGGAAAGAGAAAGTAAGCGTAAGATGTG